GCGTTCTCAGGGCTGCTTTAAACCAACAGGCGTCTCAAAATGAAAGGACTCCAGCTAGAGTCGTGCTACTTTAAACAAGTTTCCTTTTTCGGGCCATTCTTTACTGTTCTCCAGTAACTCCTCAGTATCGCCCCTGGCTCCTTGAAGTCCCTACCCCCGCTCTGGCCCCCGGGCCAGCCCCTCATTGGTCAGGGGACAGCCTGCGTAGCACATGGCCGTAGTGACGTCACTGGCTTCCGCCTGGGCCGCGAAAGGGCACCACGCTCCGTCAGGGGGCGCTGTGACTTGATGCTGGAACTTCGGAGGAGACAGTGTGCGGAACGAGCCCGCCATGTCCTGCCACCAGCGCCACTTTGTAACGTTGCCAGCACGTTGGCACCTTCCCGAGCAGGTGAAGCAGTCCCTGCCGCGTTCTCCCCTCTGGCCAAGCCCTGGGCACCCCTCAGCTGCCTTCCCGCTCTGTACCGTTGCCTGTTCTGGACATTTTGCGTGAATGGGATCATGCGCTAGGTGGCGTTTGGTGTCTGGCTGCTGTCGCCGCTTCGTTCCTTTTCACGGCTGCGTACTAGTCCACTGTAGGAGGAAACCCCATTTTGTTGGTTTCTTTGTTTTTTGTTTTGTTTTGTAGATCCTCTCACCCGTGGTCTGCCGGTTGGGTGGGTCCTTTTCCCCTTTGGGCCATGAGGAATAGTGCTGCTGGGAACACGCATGGACAATTTTTGTTCAAACACCTGGTTGCAATAGCATATTTGGGGTTTATACCTAGGAGTGGAATTGCTGCCTCCTATGTGAGGCCATTGAATCTTCAACGTTTTGAGGACCCACCAAACTTTTCCACAGCGGCAGCGCTGGCAGTCCTTCTTAACTATTTTGAAATCTAACAGCAGTAATTGAGGGTGTCTGTTTACAAGGAAGGAGCTTTTGTGGCATAGTGATTAAATCGTTTGGCTGGTAACCAGAAGGTTGGCAGTTCAAACCCCCCAAACGCTCCGTGGGATGCTTCCGTAAAGATTGACAGCCTTGAAAACCCTCTAGGGCAGTTCCAGTCTGTCCTAGTGTGTCACTGTTGAGTGGGAATTGACTTGACACCAGGGGGTTTGGGTTTTCATTCGCAAGGGTGTTTACTTGATTCCCGCCTCCCCTACGGTACTCCCTCAGTTCACTTCTTTTCGTGTTATGTGGGTACTGGATACCATTTCCAGGAGTTCACTGACTCATTCCCCCCACCCCCACCCGTCCCCTGTATTCCTTCTGGAGGGTGTGGACAGAATGAGAAGCATGCTAAATCAACCATTCTCCTCACTAGAATCTTCTTTTTTATTCCTTGGGAGCCTCCTTCCTTCCTTCTTTCTTTCCTTCCTTCCTTTCTGCATCCCCCACTCCATTCTGCATTTTATCATTACTTATTAAATTAATTAAGCATTATTTGGGGAAAAGAAATTCTCTGATCTTTCTTCACTCTACCATCTTTTACAAAGAAATCTCTAATTTGGGGTTGAAGGGCTATCCCCCCTCCCCAGTATATTCTGGCTAACTTGGTGTTAAGGAATTTTAGACAAATTTAAGATTTTCAATCTTTCATTTGTGGGACACTAATGGATCTAAACTTATCAAGGGCCGTGATTTTTATCAGACACTTTTCATTTTAATTTATTCTCAAGTTAATCATTATCTCCATTTTCACCCCCAAATAATATAAGAACCTTGTCTTACAAGTGAGTTTTGTCCAAAATTTTAGTTCATTTTGTCAATTGTACTGTTTTACACAGTCTGTTATTTTTCAGAGTCAGGGTCATGGTTACTAATTTCTTCGCTTACTATGTGTTTGTTATATCTTACTTTGTTCTCTGTTCAATTTACTTATATCCCAGGAACATCTTTAAACTGTTCTTTTACCAAGTGGTCAGCTCTCAAGTTTTTTCAAGAATATCTTGATTTTGCCTTCATTTTTGAATGACAGTTTGGTTGGGGATAGCATTCTTGCTCAAAACTATTCCTTTTTCTTAGTGCATTATTTCACTTTCCTTGTGGCTGGTAAGACATCTGCTGTCAGTTTATTATTTATTTGACATTAATTTGTCTTCTCTGTATACTTGCTTTTAAGATCTCCTCGTCTTTTTTGGTTTTATTGATTCTGCTTGTGGCATCTGCTTTCAGAATATGAGGAATCATTATTTGGTGCTTCTTCATTTTTTAATTTTAAACCAAATCTGGGAATTTTTCAACTGGTGTCTCTTTCAGTATTGGTTTATCTCTATTCTTTTGCTCTAACCTAACTTTTTAGTTGTATTTCCCTATACATTGACCTATTGCAAAATACCATGGGGATGGAGGTGTTCAGGAGTCTTCATGGTGTTTCTAAATTGAGAAAGCAGGAGGGAATGAACATATATTGAGCAATGTGGCATATTAATTAAAAGCAGTGTGTCTTTAGCCAGATTTCTGGGATTTTAATTAAAGCTGTGGCAATTATTAGGTATGTGATCTTTGACAAGCCATATAATCTTTCACTGTATTTGTTCGTTTTTAAAATGGGGACAAATTTTCTGTAGGGGATTATAAGCACTTAGAAGAGTGCATGACACAATATAGCACTATTTAAGAGTAACATACTATTATTGATCATATGTGCATCAAAAATCTTATTTAATATTCTTGAAACTGTTAGTAAATTTTGTGATGTAGGTATCATCCTTAGTGTATCCCTATGAGAAAGTGAAGGAACAAGAGGTCAAACAAATGACCATGGTTGCACAACTACAGAGTGGCACAGCCTTTAGATATTGGCTAGTCCAAGGCCTCCATTTCACAAACAGCAGAGTGAATTGCATGAAAGAGGGACATGCCTGAGGTAATTCTGTGAGCCAGTGGTAGAACTCGGCCTAGAACCCAGCAACAGAGCTCTTGCCTTGAGAGGTTCTTGGGTTTTTGAAGTGCATTAGAATTCCTTGAGGTGTGTGTGTATGTGTGTGTACTAAAACACAGATTGCTGGGCTCCACTTTCAGAGTTTCTGATAAATTATCCTTCACAGAATTACAAAACTGATGGGTTAATTCCATAGCAGTTGTTGGGACTGCCTAGTTTAATTTCTTGAGAGATTAGTTGAATGGAAGTAACCTTTGTTCTAAGAAGTTACTCAATAAAACACTGTATTTGTATTCCATTCTCACTTTACCATGAATTTGTATATTGAACTTGGTCTGAGGTGAGACCAAAGAATATGCATTTCTAACAAATTCTTCAATGATGCTTGTCTGGAGGACATACTTTAGGAACAAACACAACAGAACATAGTTCACATGTGTTTTTTCCTTTTCATCAGGGGCTACACAGAACCTCAGAAGTCTCATAGGAGGTTCTCATATAGAACCTCAGAAGTCACAAGAACTTTGACAGAACTGGGAACCAGTGATGGAAACTGAAGAAGAACCCAAAGCTAGCTGGATGAAAGTAGGGTGATCAACTGTCCTGGTTTGCCTGGAACTTTCTCAGTTTTAAAAATGAAAGTTCCACAGCCCCAGAAACCCCTCCGTCATGAGCAAAGCAGTATGATTGGTCACTCCACAGGGAGGTGAACAAAATTCATTGCCATTTAACTGCCAAACACAAAAGGACATATACAGAACGTGGTAAGTTTGTATGAGAAGAATTTATTCCTTCATTCTTCTGTGAGAAAAATCTGTATTGTGAAACTATTTTTAAGGTACTGTGTTAGGTCTATGCTCCTGACTCTATGATCCCATCCCATGATAGAAAAAAGTAAAGATGAATCTATAGTTAAGCTTAGTAAGCAAGATCCCTGTTTATAGTCTCGGGGATACCTGAAAAAGATGTAAAAAGGAAAGTTTGCAGTGAACCATGATTAGCATCAAATATTTCCCCTCTATTTTTCCTCTCAAGGGAAGTACATTTCAGAAAGGGGTTAATTTAAAATTTAAGAAAAGGAGGGTGAAATAATTTATGAATCAAGATTCCAGGAGAAACAATATACAGGGAGTCCTTCCATAAGGGACAAAGGTTGATTCGTGTCCTTATCTCTCCAGGGCCATGGGTATGTCCTTTGCTTATCATAAATCAATGCTGACCTCACTTATAATGTAAAATCTTCAAGGGTAATTTAGGAAACACTATCACAGGGTAAATATACTGATGAAAATGAATGACCACTTATTTTAGGAGTCATAATAGTAGAGAGAAAAGATTGTATGGCAAAATGTTGTTAGTTGTGATTAGTATGGAGTATACTCTTTAATAAGGAGCTCTGGTGGTGTAGTGGGTAAGGCATTTGACTGCTAACCAGAAGGTCAGTGGTTCAAACCCACCAGCCACTCCATGGGAGGAAGAGATTTACAGTCTTGGAAACCCAATAGGGGTCACAATAGGGGGCAGTGAGTTTTTTTTTTTAATATTCTTTAGTATCTGAGCTTAATTATTAATTCTTTGATCTAACAAATTTCATGGAAGACCCCTAATTCCTATATGATGCAAATAAAATACAGAGATATTTTGAGAACATAAAATGTTCAATGGGTCAATAAAATAATGCACAAACTACCAAATGTGACCTAGCAACTCTCTGAAAACATCAGATCAGGTTTTATTCTCTGTAACCATCCTGACTTTGTTTTGTGATTCCCTGTCTCTCTCTATATAGATACATAATGATGGTAAGGAAAGTCATTAAAAGAAAAAGAGCAGCAAGGTGTTACATTTGCCCCAACTAAATTTATTTGTAATTATACAATTAACATATATAAAAAATTTTAAAAAGGGGTCAGCAGAAACTAAAGGAATAGAGATTGTGCCCTAAATTTCATCATGCTCCAGTTCTCTGGTGGAACATCGTCTATCACAATGAGTTTCCCGAACAATCTTACAGAATAACCATCTGCACTTTCCCTTTGTGTGTGTGTGTGTGTGTATACATATATGTGTTTGTAATACATGTGTGTATATATATATATATACTCTCATACAGAACTTCAGAACTGTTTGATATCTTTTTGCAATTAATTTCTTGAGAGATTATTTGGATGTAAGTAACCTTTGTTCTGAGAAGTTGCTCAATAAAACACTACATTCGTTTTCTATTCTCACTTTATCATTAATTTGTGCTACCAAGCAATTCCTAACATCTCCTACACTGTAGTGAAAAACCTAGGATTTCAGGAAAACTCTAGGTATTCTCTAGCCCATTGATTTTACAGAGTGTTGTCTGAAGACAACTGGAGCGTTAAGGTGTCCTGAGACCAAAAATTTTGCAAAGTCCTGCTTTATCAAGATTTTGTTTTCTAAGGAACCTCATTGGAACAAATTTTGATCTAAGTACCATTATTCCTTCCCCATCAATATTAGTAGTATAATTCTGAAATCGATTGACCAAAATTATATCCAAAGATTGAAAAGACAAGTGGGTCTGTGTCATAACTTGGGGAAGAGAACTACCCTGTTACATGGTTGACGTCAGATAACTCAGAGGCCCTTACCTAACAGTTTACTGCTACTAGAGAAAGAGAAAAACTTCTGTTTTGTGGGATGGTATAGGAAGACAATTTGAAGTAGGTTATATAGCACAATATTATTTTGTTGATATGAAATTCTGATAGCTAGAGTACTGTGTTTATAATCCTAATGCTGTCAATTTAAGCCTCAAGTCCTAGGAGACGAGCAGTATTTAATACATCATCTCTTGTTAAGTAGCAGCCACAGAGTTGGCGGTAGCCAGTGAAGGATTCCCTGCCATGTAGGACACGCCAGTTGTCTATAAATAGGACCTGCGAATGGGCAAAAAGATAGAAAACACCATCAGAACAGGAGTATACCAAAGGCACCCTAAATCAGAAGAGAGACTTTTAAAGAAAACCTGCAGGTTACTCTCTGTTTCTACTCAATGAGGTGTTTTTCTTTCGAAGTTAAGCTGACATTTGGAAACCAGACTGTGTAGAGCCCTGTAAATGGAAGGCACAAAGGCACAAAGAGGAGACGACGAGGCCTGCGCTTCCAGAATGTCTGTTTCTCGGGTAACTGTTCCGTTATCAAAGCAAATCGGGTAGCTGGTTTCTTTCTTTTCTTTTCCTCTTTAATTCTTATTCTGTACTTTCTCAAAGGGGAAATATTTTACTACGTTTTATGCTAAGCTGATGATATTCTTTATCTTGAGGAAATAAAAGACATATACAAGAGTGAAAACACAAAAACTAAAACAACAATAGAATCACAAAGCATCAAAACTGTAGGAGGACTCTTCTGATGCCTAGAGAAGGGTAAAAGTGTTTCCAGGTCATTTAGTGAACGAATGGCAGGATCAGCCCCAACACCTAGGACTCCTTTACAATATTGTTTCTCACATACCTGTTCTGCACATAAAAAACCTTACTTAGTATCTTTTGAGTTTGGAACCCACCCTTCCAGGCTTTAGTTTGACCCAAAACTCATTCTCTGGTCTCCTCAACTCTATTGTTAGAGTCCGATGTGCTGTATACCAACGATGGACGACATCATAAGGTACAGTATTGATGACAGCCCGGTCATAGTTGTTGTACCTAAGATGGAATCATGAGAAAGAAAAATCTTCTCAAACACATGTTAAGGATATCTGTTGTTTATTGAATAATTATATGAAATGTAATAGATTGAATTGTGTCCTCTGAAAATACGTGTTATAAAGCCTAGCCTCTATGACTGTGGTTATAATACCATTTGAGAATGAGTTGTCTTTTTATGTTAATGAGGCAGGAATAGTGTAGGGTGTATCTTGAGTCAATCTATTTTGAGATATAAAAGAGATTAAACAAGCAAGCTAGAAAGCAGAGATGGGGGTAGAGAGATACCAAGGCACATGAAGATTTCCAAGGAACTAGGAAACAGACTAAAGAGACAAAGACCTTCCTCCAGAGCTCACAGAGAGACTGCCTTCTCCTAGAGCCAGTGCCCTGAAATCAGACTTCTAGCCTCCTAAACTGTGAGAAAATAAATTTCTATTTGTTAAAACCATCCACTTGTGGTATTTTTGTTATAGCAGCTAGATAACTAAGACATAAACCTTTATATGCGCCCTAGTGGCATAATTGTTAAGTGCTCGGCTATGAACTGAAAGTTGGCAGTTCGAAACCATCCAGTGGCTCTGTGAGAGAAAGACGTGGTGATCAGCTCTCATAAAGATTGTTGTTGTTGTTGTTATGTGCCATCGAATCGGACCTGACTCATAGTGACCCCTCCTTGGGTTCCCAAGGCAGTATCACTACGGAAGTAGATTGCCCAACCTTCCTTCTGAGGAGTGGCTGGTGGGTTTGAACCGCCAGCCCTCTGGTTAGCAGTCAAGTGCCTTAGGCACTATGCTACCAGAGCTCCCCCCGTAAATATCGCAGCCTAGAAAATCCTAGAGGTCAGTTCTACGCTCTCACATAGGGTCCCTATGAGTCGAAATTGACTTGAGGACACCTAACAACAACACCAACAATGTTCACTACTTGTCACAGAGATGAGATAGCAATAATAAGTCGGTGTTCTCAGGAATGTAAGATTGGAGAGTGGATATCCACTGCCTGTTGACCAGATTTTATTTTTGTTTGGAGCATCTAGAGGTAGGAATACAAGTAGGTTCAAGCTGGTTTCTCCCATCTTAGGATAAGAGGTTCTATATACATTCCATGGAGTAAATTCTGATCAGCCAAAGTCCATGGAAACACTGGGAAAAGATCTGACCTTTTTCCTAAAAAAACTGAGGTGGGCAAGAGAGGTTGTACTAACAAAGCTGCCTTTTAACAGGGTGGCTTACAAGTTCTCAGTTACCTCCCTTTTTGTTAGAAATCCCAGCTGCAGACCAGTGGATACGTCACTCAGAGATCTGTTCACTCAGGGATCTCTTCATTCAGTCAATCCTATTATTTATATGGATACCTGCTATCTGCTAGGCAATGTGTCAGGCATTATAGATTCAGTGATGAACATGGCAGACATGACCTTAGCCCTCAATGAGTTACACATTCCATTGAGGAAGATAGATAATAAACAAGTAAATAAATACACAAAAAAGTTAATTTCAGTCAGTTATAGACTCTATAAAGAAAAAAAATAGTTTTATGTAATAAAGAGTGACCGAGAAATCTAATTCAGATGTATTGAGTGAAGGACTTCTGGAGGAAAGTGGCATTTGAGCTGGTGTCTGTATGGTAAGAAACCATACGAGACATGAGTGTTCCATGCAGAGGGAACAGCAAGTACAAAGTCCTGGGGTGCAAAGTAATTTAGTGTGTTTGCAGAACAGCAAGAAGGGTATGTGGCTGGAGCTGAGTAAGCAAGGGGGTTAAGGGTAAGAAATGATGTGGAAGAGGTATCCAGGGGTCAAATATCATATAGTCTTGCAGGCCATAGTGTGGCTTTATGAGCTCTGACTCCTGAAAAACCTTCGCTAAGGTACTAGATTGCTATTTTGTCTAAGGCAAATTAACTTTTAACTGAAATACAACATATATGCAGAAAAGTATACAAATCATAAGTGTACAGCTTGAAGAATTTTTTTTTTCCTACAGGACTGGTTACTGTTTTCTGTTACACATCAACTTGAATTTTCATGATGTAAACATGCACTCAAGACCCCAGAACCCTCCCTTGTGCCCTGTTCCAGTCACACTGCCCCTTGACCCAAGGTAACCACCATCCTGACTTCTATCACCAAAGATTTATAAAACTGTATATAAATGGAATCATACAGTATGTACTCTCTTGTACCTGACTTTTTGCATTTAATATTATGTTTGTAAGATTCATCCTTGTCGTGTGTATCAATAGCTCATTCATCCTCAGTGCTGTATAGAATCCTATAGTGTGACCATACCACAATTTATTCATACGTTTTACTGTTGATGGACATTTGAGTAGTTTCCAGCTTGGGACTATTACAAATAGTGCTGCTGTGAATGTTCTATTACATGTCTTCTGGTGGAAAAAAAAAATATATATATATATGTTTGTTTGTGTGTGTGTGTGTGTGTGTGAATTTATGTTTGATAGAAATCTAAGAATTGAATTGCTGGGCCATAATCTATATATATTCTTAAATAGACACTACCAAAGCTATCCTTTTAAAATAGAAATAAACTCCCAATCCATGGTGCCCTTTTTGGACGTCAGATGGTGTACATTAGTTTTAGATATTACATGGTTCAATAAGAGCCAGTTTTCTCATATATAAAAAGAATATAATGATACCTGCTTACCTGATTTCACAGGGATACTGTGAGAAACAAATGAAAGACTGATAATAATAATAATGATTTCTCCCAGGTTTCAAGGAGTCACGCCTTGAGGAAGAATGGGGTTCTGGCACCCACTGTCACTTCCAGAAACCCCCAGTCTGTGCTAGGTGCTTGCACAAATATTATTTCATTTACTTCTTTAATCACCTGAGAGAAGGTCGTATTAGCCTCTGTTGACGTGTAAGGCAACTGAAGTTAAAAGGTTAAACCTGCCACAAAGTTTATAAGTAGCAGAATAATGGGTTTGGAATCAGGTTTAATACCTTAATTCACTGTATATACTAAAGAGTTGTAGAATGATCTAATTCTCTGTGTGTTGGTTAATGAGGCCAACTGTATACAGATCACAACTGTAATCTCTTAACTTCAAATAGAGATTTACAGTTTACAAAGTGTTGTCAAACACACTATCTCATTTGATCCTCATGATAACCCTGTGAGGTAAGCAGGACAGCTATTATTATCTTTACAGATAAGGATAGTAAAGATAAGACACTGTGATTTGCCCAAGGTGATTTGCCCAACAGTGAAATCCAGGATTCACTGTTTCCACTAGATGATGTTGCTTTCTAAGGCCCATAGCAGGAAGCAGCAGGAAAAACTTACAACAAATTAGTAAAATGACTGTGCAATGTTCTTCTGATTGGAATAAGACTATTTATGGATATTTGCACAAAGTAATGTCATCATGTTATAGTGTAATTTTCCTTTTTTTCTGCTTTGATATGAAGCAAGAGACACTTGGAAGTAGAGCAAAGCAAATAATTTAAATAATTACCTGGTAAGAGAAAAGCTAGAAGGCTTAATAAAGCTATTTCTCTTATTAATTGATAGACAATGACACTTTTTCCAGATAGAGAGCTCAAAGATAGAATGGAGGATGCATTGATGACTTTGAATGCTGTGGCATCAGTAGAAAATAATGGGCATTATAGTCAGATCTCTGTTACAATCCCAGTTCAGACATGACCTTGCAAATGCTATTTAATTTCTTTGAAAACTGAGAATAAGAATAATTAACTTCTGTAGTTGTTATCAGGATTAGTGTAGTGCCTAAGGCACTTGACTGCTAACCAGAAAGCTGGCAGTTCAAACTCACCAGCCACTCCTGAAGATGGGGCAATCTACTTCCATAGTGATACTGCCTCGGAAACCCAAAGAGGGGTCGCTATGAGTTGGGCACATAACAACAACAACACTGTTCTTTACACGCAGGAGGTCAATAATGTCAGCTAAAATAAAAACTAGTTAGATATCTGCAGTGAATTGCTTGATGTGGCCCTTCTAGCCATTGTCCTCCATTCTGTGATGTATTGTAAATCCTATTATCTATGCCTGTTTGGGGTGGTGTGGTAGTTAAGGTCAAGTGTCAACTTGGCTGGGCAGCTGGTAGTAGTCATTCCCTACAAAGATTGGCAGTCGGCTCTGTGGTGGGATTTGCCTTGAGCAACTGAATAGCTGCTGATTGTTAAAGCCATCCACTTGGCACAGCACAGGTGGGATGTATCTTGGGTCCTGCCTTGCTGGAGGGTGTAACTCAAATCACCACCCTTAGCTTCCTTGAGGGTATACCTACGACTCTCCTGGGAATGTTTACCCTCCTCTTGCTCAGATTCTGTGTTTTGGCTCATTTTCATCTCACCCCTAGATTTGGGACAGCAGCCATCATCTGATCTGCTTATTGAGGTTCATCAAACCCTGAGAATTAGGAGGATCCTCTGGACCCACTCACAACCTGGGACTCGCCAGCCTGTCAGCCTCCACCACCACTACATGAGACGATCCCTTGGGTGTCTGTGAGTTCTGTGAGGCGTTACAGCGAAATACAGAAATCTAAGATGGGAGATTACTTGGAGGGGGAAGAGGAGTAAATGTCTGAAATGATGGGGTGGCACGGCAGTTTGGACATTTGGGACATCTTTAACCTCCTCCTCATGGGTGCCAGCCTTGTGCTGATCTTTCTGGGAGAAATTGTTCAAGCAATATCTCAAGCTATGAAAACAACCCCTGGAAATAGGAAAGGTTTTACAGTGAGTTAATTATACTAACTTAAGTGGGGGGTCAGAGAAAACGGGTAAGGCCTCCAACGAGATGGACTGCCACAGTGGCTGCAATAATGGGCTCAAGCATAGCAAGGATTCTGAGGGTGGTGCAGGAGCGGGCAGGGTTTCATCCTGTTGTACACAGGGTTCCTAGGAGTTAGAGTCGACTTGATGGCACCTAACAACAACAGTTACACTCAGACTTGCAGGACAGAGTTAGACTAAGCTTTGAATAATAGCGGC